TATTCTAAATGGAACTGAGATTGCTGCTTCAATGGATTAGCAAGCTGCTGAGTAATCAACAAATGAAGTTTCCCCCGTTGTCATCGGGGACCCTGATGGAACTAGCAGTGCTCTGAAGTGGCGGGGGGTCCCTGGATACGTAGAAGACAAAATCGTGGAGAAGAAGTAACGGTCTCTCGAAAGGAACCCGATACCTAACAGATGCATGCAGACAGGCAGAGAGAGGCTGTTCTTCGCAGGAAGCCTGCGGTCGCCGGCGGGGCCCCCCGGCCATGACGCTGTTCTCACCAGACCCGACATGCCAGTATGCCTGCTAGCAATGCTGATGCGGGCATGCGTATGCTGCCACTGGCTGCCCGCGTTGCGGCAGCGGCCCTCAACTATGCACTTCTGGTAGTGCTTTCACGCGGCGCTCTTGGAGATAGAACCGCAGAAGAGCTTGGAGTTTGCATGTTGCAGTTGCCACTACTGCAGCAACTCGTCTCGTTTATTGCTCGTGAGGGGACAGCACGAACAGCAGCACGTTGCACGTCGCTGACTGCACTGAACGAGCAGGAGCAAGCAGAGCGTCGCCGCCAGGAGCAGAGCTCGTTCAACCTGTCATATATTTCATTTTTTGCGTGCTGCTGCGTTTCACTGGTATCTGTGCCTGTGTGGCTGTATCTGCTCCCACCAGAAAATGNTTTTTTGCGTGCTGCTGCGTTTCACTGGTATCTGTGCCTGTGTGGCTGTATCTGCTCCCACCAGAAAATGGCAACTCCTACCCAGGGCGGTCAAGCGCAGCACGCGCTTACAGTATTGCCACTGTGGCGTTTGCCGCAGCCGGCTTGGCGGATGCAGCGGCAGAAGTTCTTTCCCTTCGCTGTCTAGTGCTTCATTCACCGAACTCACGCAGCATAGCGGAAGCAGCTTCAGCAGCAACACGCTCTATGCTGTTGGCGGTCGCGCTGTTCATGCAAAAGAGGACACCAGCTGCAGTAGTAACCACAACAAACAGCTTGCTCATGAATCCCATGGTGGCACTTGGGGGAAGTCATTTGTCTGCGTCTCTCATATTTCTGCAAGTGCAATGGTTGCAGTGTCATCGACTAGTTACACGGAATTCTTCCGCACCATATTCACAAAGTGCAGCAAGAACAACAGCAACAACATCTCTAGCCGAGACTCGTCGTCTGCTTCTAGCTTGGCCTGCATTCCAGCGCCTCAGCACGAGCTTTTCCTCATCAGCAGGGGTCGTCTGCGGATCCTATCCGACGGCAGGAGGAGGTTCACCAGCATCAGCAACATCCACAGCAAACGTAGCAGCAGCAGCGGGGACAAAGCAACTTGCGGGTGCCGCTCTTCGGCGGGCGTTAGGACCATATCTCTCGAGGGAGCATTTCGAGTTGCTCCCCACGTATCTGATGCTGCTGGCGCAAAAGATGCTGCTGCAGCATGGGGAGCAGATGCTACTGTTGTTGCTGCTGGATGGTAAAGCAGCGACAGAGTATGCCGTGACGTCTGGGGCAGCATCAGTCCTCTGTCGCGTTGTCTTTTCGCAGCTTGAAGCAGCGGCGTTTGAGGGATTCTGCGTCCTGCGAAATCAGCCCGCTGCTGTTTTTGCCGATCCTGCTCGGGAAGCTGCACCCGTTGGGGTTGCATCCGAAGCAGGACTACCAGGAAAAACAGGTGTTGCAGTTCCATGGAAGGAGAAGCGTGAGTTTGTGGGGGAGGAAATGTCTGACGAGCAGCACATCCAGCCCCGCCGCAACGCCCTAGACCCCAAGTCAAGCAATCCAAATCAACGACTAAACTGTGAGCGGCATCAGCAGCTAACAACCCGGCAATGCGGCGCCAGGAACTCTGATGCGGAGAAGGTCGTGGAAGGACACATCTGCAGAAGGAACAGCGTGACAGGCGTACATGGCTCCGGGAAAATGGCGAAGTTGTTAAGGTCGTTAGGTTGTCGTGAACTTTCAACAGGCGATGCCATAAACGCGTCGCATTCGCCAGCGCTTGCGCTGCTGCAAATGCTGCTGTTGCTGCAGGGGACCTTAGGGTTGGCTGCCGCAGCAGGTGGATGCCTATTTGCCGCTCCGGCGTTGCGATGCTTCTTCGGTCCATCAACGGTGGCTCCAGGGAGTGGCTTCGTTCAGACTCTGCAAGTGTGCGTCCCGTGAAGCACTTGACAGGAAGACTGCCACTTACAAGTGCCACTAGGGATGCTTTACTCGTGCGCAGTTTTTCTTATGCTTCAGGGCTATCCAGTCTATGATGCATGTTGTGTATGCATGCAGCTACTGTTGTTACGTCTGCTGCCTCTCCGTCTTTGGACTCTTGGACGCCTATGCTTCAGCTAGTTGCAGCAGCGGCAGCTTAAGGCTGCTAAAGCGATACTACCTGGCCGTCACTGCTGCCCACTTGGGGCTGCTGCTGCCTGTCTCAGTCCGCTCTTGTGTCGTAAGCTACTGGTTTTCAGCATCCAGCTGCATTTCCAGAGAGGGGCAGAAGCTGCTTCAGCAGCTGATCAAAGCAGCTTTGATACGGTGGTCTTTATCACGGTGAGTGCGTCACGCTGTGTTGATTCAGGCTTTTGGGATACCGGCGGGGGCAGGAGCTGCCGCAGCCCAAGTTGTAGCTGCGGTGCTTCGCATCGGCTGTTGCTGGCTTTCCATTTCCAAAGAGATAAGTGAGACATCGGACCAGAGGAATGCAGTGGGATGTTCTGCGACACCAAAGCAGTTGGCTTTGCAGCGTTTCAGTAACTGCCGCAGAAAGACTCGGGCCAAGAGCAGCAGCATCGCCACTAACTCCAGGGCGTTGATAAGCCCAGAGGGAAAGGCTGTAACGATGGTGGCAAGCAGAGAGACCGTACGACGTCGGGGCAATGAAACACTGTCAGCAATTTGGACAATAGTGCCTCCTGGTGCGACCGCACTAGCTGTAAGGTATGCATGCTGCTTTGTAGCTGCTGCCGCTGCGCGGAGCCTACTCCGAAAGGCTAGCTTCGATTATGGGCAGGAGACATCTGCAGCACCAATGTACGATTTGCAGCACGTGACGCTTGGAGGCTACGTTGTCTCACTGTGGGTAGCTGAGATGTCATTAGCTATGGTAGCCTGCGCTGCGTCAGCTGCTGCTGCTGGACCCTTGCTGCTGAAACGAGCGCGAGAAGCTTACCGCTCTGCAGCAGGTGCCGTGAATATTTCTTGACTCCTGGGAGATTGATTGACATGCTAAGTNAAGCTTACCGCTCTGCAGCAGGTGCCGTGAATATTTCTTGACTCCTGGGAGATTGATTGACATGCTAAGTCACACGATGTGCCTTCCACACTCGTTGGCAAGTGAGCAACAGCTCGGTTGTACGCAGATTTCTCCGCTTCGAATAGCTCTGTGAACTTGACTTTTTGTCGGTTTCGGTCAGAATATCAAGCAGCTGAGTTTCATAGTAGCCTAAGTCTTGCCTAGAACCAGCGCTCAGTGTTTTAATATCAGCCGATGAGATCATCAGCAGTTGATTAAAGCTTCATCTGAGGGCTGAAGAAAACATGCGTGCGCACAACCCGCGCAGATGCTGAAGGAGAGAGCGTGGTCTGTTGTTTTGCTGGGACTATTTAAACTAAAAGACCTGCAGGCTCCAGGGCAAAGCTTTAAGGAATGCTCGGCCAGGGGCCAGCACTTTGGCTATCACCAGGACACCTTGTCTAACCTGCTTCTCGTTGGCCTAAACGAGAGTAGCATCTGCTGAAGAACCTCTGGATGACGTCACAGCTAGGCCTCGTGAGANTCGTTGGCCTAAACGAGAGTAGCATCTGCTGAAGAACCTCTGGATGACGTCACAGCTAGGCCTCGTGAGAAGAGTATTCCGCGGTTTTAATTAATCGCCTGCACATCCCATTTCCCCAATCGACGCCTGACCAGAGTTCTTATTGGAGTTTGTGCAGTTGTTTTACAGCTTAGCTTCGACCCAGGCAGCTATCTTGCTCTCGTTTCAGGCGGCCTGATCAGCAGGCATTTGGTGCACCATTCTGTACGCCTCCCTCACTGTTTTGTTCAGTAAGCCCACTAGCTGTCGGGTAGTATGCCACAGCCCGATGGTCGGTACGCTAAATAGCACGCGGTAAGAGGCCTCATAATAGTGTATAGGGAGCCGAGCCGGGGCAACCGTCCGTGAAAACTCGCTCCAGTAGGGCTTCTTTGCACTACACTACATACGCTTAAACAAAGTGGCGTGAAGCAGCAACGCAGCAGGAAGCGTTGGATGCCTAATAGCGATAGCGTAACATACAAACAGGACAGGGGACGGCGGCCCGCTACACTGCTTCTGGGTTCTCTTCAAGTTTACTTGTCAATAGATCAAATCCCAATGTTGCGACTGACTGTATAACTATCGTCCTGTATCATGCATTGGCTCTGAGCCAACGTACCCTATTTGCCGAAGCATCGTTCAAGACTCGTAGTATTCCCACACTCCGCAAAGAACAAGGCTAACACAATCGGCTGCAGTCGGCTGTCAGCCAGAAATAACTGGTTGATGTTACCTAGCTAGTGCACTGGGTGGGCACCCGCCGACACAGAACAGGTTGCGCAGCAGCACAGGAGTGCCAAGTTACGCTGCACCACGCTTCTTCCGCCGGCGGCGGCCATCACGTCCCGTGCCTGAGGCCAAGGCAGTCTGCAGATGCATCTGCTCCGGCTGAAGTTCGGTAGAGGGACCGACGGCAGAAGCAGGAGCCATACCGGCGCCATCGTTGGCCTCGATGGATATCTTGTCACCCACAGATTCACTGCATCTGGTGACGTCTGGTACGAATGCACCGAACGTCTCCTCGCTGTGAACCAACGGTAGGGCACCTGCACAGACCACAGCAATTGTTCCACGAATATGGTGCAAAGAAGGCGCTGCAGCTATAATTTCAATGCCTGGGAATATCCTGCAGTGATGTACTCCTTGCTGCTGCATAGGCTCCGTCTCGCAGATTGGGTCACTGGCAGAAATCGCACCTGCAAAAGTGTTGCTCGTGCTGCTTCCAATCCTAGTTAACGTAGATTTACAACCCCCAAGGCTATTAGCAACTGATAGCTGGGCCTCACCTGTTCCTGTCCGAAACTTGTCAGTCAGTTCGCCACCAGTCACTCTCCTGCCCTTGGAGATGACGCTCACAGGCATGCTGCAGCTGACGTTGGGTCCTTGCGGGGCCGCTACGTCAGCCGCTACTGACAAACAGCTCTCACACGCACTGCTACTGCTGCTGCTGCTGCTACTAGGATTGCTTGACGCCCTTATCTCTGGCTCAGGCCTTTCTGGAGGCCCTATAGAGCGGTTCGATTCCATCTGACGCTGTGTCGACTGCAACAAAAGAGAAGCATGCGGTATTGTGCCGCCTCGAGCGAGCTGCGATGCCCACAGTGACTTCAAATATGAATTTGCCACCCCGTGTAGATTACCGCTCGCGCTACAGACACTGCTGCTTCTGCTGCTGCTGCTTCGCGAAGGAGCAGCCGAGTAAGTTGTAATAGCAGCAGCCTCTGCTCCAGATGAGATGTAGGCATTCTGCGTGTGTGCCGAGACTCTTGCGCTGATAACTGAAGGTGACAGCAATGGGGTTTCACCGTCCGGGACAGCTGCAGCAGCAGGGGAAGCCACCGGAGTTGTGGCACCCCCCTGGCGACGCTGCCGTAAAGTGTGGCGCTGAAGCTTGAGACTCCTGATAGCCTTCGTATCAAGTGCTGGCAGCAGCGTCGCGGCAGCAAACTGCACCTGCTGCTCCTGCTGGGTTTGGTGCTCATGAGGCCAGCAGGAACTTTCCTGCTGTTTTGCCACAGTCTCTCGACGGTGCGGGAGTACCGCGTCGCTGCCTCTCCCTGGCGTCCGCGAGGCACCACCATTGTCACCACTGGAGTTGCTGCTGTTGTTGCTGCTGCTCCCGTAGTCTGCAGTCGCAATGTGGGGTCCATCTCCTGCGTTTCGTGATAGTCCAAGGAATACTGTAGGGGCCAGAGAAGTGGACAGGCGCCGCAAAAGAGACGACGTCGTATCGGGTGCAGGCGTTGCTTCTTGCTGGGTTTGGCTTGTCAACGGAGACGCAAATGGCTCTGGAGCATCAGCAAAAGCCGTGCTTTGGTGCGCAGCTGCAGCCCGTACTATGCCCGAAGACAAATCCGCTTTTACAGCATCGTCTAGCTGGACCTCTTTTCGTCGCCGCTGCTGTGCATCCGCTTCGTAAGTCTCATATTTTGTGCGATGCAAAAGCATTCGGGAGGAGCTGCCGTTATGATGACTTGCCGTCAACAGCAGCAGCAGCTGCTGCTCCCTCTTGTACTGTTGCAGCTGATGGACCAATGCCTGATGCTGCTGCTGCAGCAGCTCGAAGGAGCGACGCAACAGAGCGCACTCTCCAGCAGCTGCCGCAGCAACTCGCTGTCCCCGACGGAGTCGCCAGAAGAAAGCACTACTAACGGTTAAAAAGCAAACGAAAAGCAGCAGGAGCGGGGTCGCAAGAGACGAATCTACTGCTTGAGGACTTCCTCTTTCCTGAAGCATCAAAAACCTTTCGGCCCAGTGACCGCCGCTGCTGCTGCTGCCAGTGGACCAGTCATGTGAGAAGGGTGGAGGCGCCTGGTAGCCCGCAGCAAACAGCCGAGTCCACGTCTTTACCACAAGCGCTAGAACGACAGAAATGCCGCGGTATACGATGTCAGCGCCCACTCTTACACCATATGCAACTGATCCTGCAACCGAAGCAACCCCATGATAAAGACCAGATGCTGCTGCGCAGCTCTGCTGAACCACTGCTGACTCAGCGTCACTGCAAAAGAGCTGCTGCAGCAACTGTGCTGCTACTCTAGTAGCAAAAATAACGTCGCCTCCCCACTGCATCAAAGGCAATGCTAGCCACCGCCATACCCACTCCAGTGACTGAAGCACCTGCTGTTGAAGTACATCCCATGGCCAACCCCAGATATGGTGTCTAGCAGTGTGGCGACAGTGTTGCTGTTGGTGGTGGTGGTCTTTCTGCTGCCCCGAGGTGTTGACGCCACTGCTGCTACCATCAAACGTGTTGCAGTGAGGGTCAAGATGTTGCTCAGCGGCTGCAGGGACAGTGCCATGCAGCCTTTCGTCTTCTTGTGCTGCTGCTGCTGCTGATGTTGCTGCGGCCTCGGACTCATCCAGTAACTGCACCAAAGGGTTTAAGTGAGGAATAAGGCCGTCAAACGCAGATAGACGTTCAAACTGCAACAAAAAAAGTAGGACATCAACCGCAAAAGAACAGGGATATACTGTGGAGCATCGCGTGCAGCAGCCTTCATAAAGTGACAAACCTACCAGAAATGAACCCAACTGCTGCTGCAGTTGGACAAGGAGCGCGAGATGCAGAAGGTGTTGCTGCTGTAACTGTAGCTGTTGCTGACGCTCAGCAGCCCTGCGAAGGAACAGGCAAACCCGAAGCAATTAAGCATAGGCTTCAGATTTACAAGAGCTTACGGATTACAGCACCTGAAAGAAAAGCAACCCATCTGGGACAAAGCCGCAAACTTTGCAAACTGCGTGCGTGAAGCTACGCGGAGCGGCCACGCAGCCGCAACCAGATAAACCGGTAATACAGCAACGCAACACCAGAAAGGCGTGCAGTCGGAGCAGCCGAATCCGCGGAGGTTGTAGCTATGCTCACGCTGCCTTAAACGCTGCAGTTTCTCCCTCCAAAGACTTCATTCTCTCCAGCAGCATTACCAGCACGTGCTCGCCCTTCGTATCGCGAGGGCCCAAGGGTGGTGTCGCCGCCATTCCGCCTCTCGTGGCTTCTCCACTAACTGCCCCGCCGTTTGCTGCAACAGACAATGCGGACAGATATCACAGGAGGCACCTGCAGAATTAGTTCTGTAGGCGCAGACATCATAAACAATTGCAGCGGTAGAGCGAGTGGAGCTGCAACTGTTTCACGTTTCCATCCAATGTGCACTAAATGCGCCAGTGGAGCTCTCGGCGCTCCTCCTTGTCCCTGAACATCANACTGCTAATCAACCTTTCGCAGTGTCCTCCGCTTGTGTGCCTCTTTCGGCCCCCGTCTCCCAGTTTTTCTTCTCTACCGACCCTCCCCTCGCATCCCTTCTTTGAAACGTACAGTTCACGTCCACTGCGGGAGGCTGCAGCAGCAACGACAACACCCGGAGTGTCTCCGCCTGCTGATCTTGGTCGCCCGGCGTGGTCGTCATGAGAAAGCGTAAGAACGCTGCGTTAATTGGACTCTGCTGCAGCTGCGGCTGCTGCTGCTGGTGTTGCAGGGCATCCAAAAGGAACGCCCTTGCGTATGCAGCTGCCTGCCGTAGGGCCTCTGTTGCCGCTTCGGCTACTTCCAACTGTTTGCCGCTCTTGCTAGGACTCGAGTTTGCAGAAACGAGGTGACCTTGATGCACTGCGCCGGGCTTGCTCGCAGAGGCAACAGCGGCTGCTGCCCCAGCCGTAGGCGTCCCTTCCCCTAGAGGGATGCAGACATAACGGCTAGTGGTTGGCTGAATGAGTGGGTTATAGCCTTGCCAAACGCTCCGAGCGTTGTTGCTGTTGCTTGCAGTACACACCGTGGAGTCTATCAGATTGCCTTTGAAGCTAAGCACCTCCCTCAGACCAGGAATTGAGACAGAGGAGTAGCCCATCTCTGCCCAGGCCGGGTCGTCTATTAGAACATCATGTTGAAGGTCAAGGTGCTCCTGTTGCTGGCTGTGGCGTTTCTGCCTAAGAAGCTGCTGCTGTTGCAAGGCCTTCTCAAGTGCACCTGAGAGTGCATTCAACGCAGCAGCGCCTTGTGTTTCCACATCTTCAACTCGGAGCAGGTTGTGCCACTGCTGCTGCTGTTGCGTTACCCTTTGTCCGCCAACATCTGTCTCCGGATCTGTTGAGACAGCTGCAAGGGCGTCCGCGTCAGTCGGCGCATCCAACGGGCTGCCACTGTGCCTTTCAGCTGAGAGGCCTCTTCGCTGGCGTTCTGAATGGAGCAAATGCGCCTCCGCAGCCCTATCAAATGTTCCAGTGCGTTCGGTGCTTCTATGCAGACTGTCCACCTCCAAAGAAGCAATGGCATCCTTAGGGACGGGATTACGGTTATGCAAACGCTCCACAGATGCGGCACTGACGTGGCCGCTCTGGATCTCGCCAAGCTGCTGGGGTGTTTTAGCAACTGTCCCGTGCTCTCTCTCATGTTGCTGCGAGTCTTGGTGCCCATGAGCATCAACCGAAACGCTTTGCATTGCTTCCAGCTGCTGTCTAATTCCTGCAAGAGAGCCGGGCTGGTCTGGGCCAAACAATGGAGGGGAAGCCTCGACCCCGGTTTGTCGAGAATCTTTGGGGGCGAAACCAGCGGAAGAGCCCCCGGAAGCTGTAATTACAGCAGGTGAACCAACGGCGGGAAGGCCGCTGGAAGAAGGGGCCCCTTCAGAGACTTCCCCCTCTGCTCCTTGGGCGGTATCGCCAAACTCATCGTGAATTTGTGTCTCAAGGAACTGCACGCCTGTTGCCCCGAAAACCTGCAGCAAGCATCAGCAGACGGTTCGCGCTGGCGCACTGCTCCCCAAACAGCACTGGCTGCTGCTACTGCTAGCTGCGTCTGGAGTTGACAGAACCCCGGCTGGCTGGTAGTAGGGCCGGTAGACCATGGCGCGGCGGATTCTAGAGCCACAAATGCGCCGACAGATAAAAATCGGGGAATGGCGGGTGACGAGAGAGCAAGCAATAAAAATGGAGACGAGTGAAGAGAAGTGCGCCTCACCTGAAATGAGGTGAGGGAGCAGTAATAATGCGGACCCTCGTCATGGTGGGTCAGCAATCGAACCTTAAGAAACCTGCGCAGGTAAGCGAGCCTAACAACAGCTCCTAAACCGCCTAATACTCTCTGCATGAACACTAGCAGAAACAGCAGCTCAACCAGCAGGCAGATCAGGTGAAAAACGCATTAGACGCACTTGGCCCAGCAGCTACTGAGAGCAGCGCATTCGGATTTGAGATCGAAGAGCTCCGAAGAGACATCTGCTGCAGTCTGGAGGTTTGCTATGAGGCGCCACTGCCCTGTTGGATAGGTGTCGGCCCTGGACAGCATTGACAGGCATTCGATTCCACAGGAAATTTAAGGCAATTTCGCCGCAATAGGAACTCCAGCTACCACGTGCTCGTGCAGGAAACAGAGAACGCACGGAAAAAACATTAGGCGTGAGTTATGCAGCAAACAGCCAGCAGGAATACGCAGCACAGCAGACGAGCGACAGCTCTCAGAATGATGCGTAGGTAACAGTTAATTTCGTACCCGAGCAGTTGAATATGCCAGAAGGCATTAGCGTAGATCTCGAAGGACTGCATTACTACGAAGTCTATCTTGAGTGTTTCCGAAAAAGAAAGGACAAAGTACTTGGACGGCAGGTCGCATGGTGCAAGCATGTACGTATCTGCGTCAGGCCTCTGCAGCAAACACACAACAGAAGACTCCACACAAAGCACCAAATATCACTGTGAAGGCTTGAACTACTGACTACCCCACAGGCATACAGACACACACAGGGCTGTTTTGGCCTCCATATCTGTCACATCCCATGAAGCCCCTTGACCCGCGTGACACAAGCGCTCAGATATATCCACATGCGCATGGAGCCACAACAACGTTTGCATGAATTCGTAACTGTGAACTGCCACAAGGTGTCTGCGTTTCCGATGCGCTTAGCGTGGCTACGTTCTGCTCTAGAATTCATGTCGAGATGTGTTAGCCTAAAGAGGCGTTCAATCTTTCGGTGCGGCCACACCTGCACCGCCTTTATGTGCTGCATCCCAGGACTCGAGGCGATGATCCGCGCTCCCGCGTCGAGCGACGCAAAGTTGAAGTGCAGACGCAAAAAGGATGCGGGCAGCTGTTCGCCCTGCACGAAACCTCGCCCATACAGCTGAGGAGCCCCCGGGACCCCCCCGACTGCAGACGTTGCTGAAGGGCCATGCGAATCTGCATGCAGTTTCGTGGAAGCAGAAGCAGCAGGCGCCAGGGACCCAGCGGCGTTCTTGTCCAGCTGCTGGATCTGCTCCGCCAGTTTTTCGTGCTTCTGTTGCTCATGCTCCAGGTGGCTATGGTGCTCCGGATATGCTACCGGCTGCGCATCATACTGTCGCTGCTGCAGTTGCTGGTACCCCGAATCGTCTTGTAATTCTACCCCCTCCTGGACTGGCCCATTGGTTGTCTGTTCCTGCTGCGTGGCCTGCTGCTGGTTCAGGTGCTGCGGGGATGGTTGAGCTTGCTGCTGCTCCTCCTCTCTTTGTAGCTCAAAGCGCACGCCCTCCTTGGCATCCAGTTTGTTAAAAGCATCCTGTTGCTGTTCTGCCTCGCCACTTCTCCCTGCAAACTGAAGAGCAGGCCAACTGGGGTCGTCAAAAGGCACTGTACAGCTATTTACACTGCTCAGCCGCTCCACAGGAGCAGCGCATGTGCCGTTGCGAGGTTCCCGATGTACCGCATGATTCTTCATATCTTCATGTTGGAATAAGTTCTCCGGCTGCGCTGGATCCGCCTGCTGCCAAGGAGCCTGCTGCACTTGCTGCGACCGCTGCTGTTGCTGAGGCTGCTTGCACTCCGCAGTCTTCGCGTCGGCAAGGAGGCGCACTGCAAGGTCGTGCGGCAGCAGCAGCAGCAAGAGCTGCAGTGCCAGTGACGTGGGCGCTGGAGGTCTGTAGCAAAGCGCAGCTGCCGTTACTGCTGCCGCTTCTGCTGATTCACGTTTTGACAGTTGCCGTTGCCGCATGCACGAGCGCCGCCATGTCCACGAAACAATCTGACCCCCCCATACTGATGAGAGTTCTTGCTGCTGGTGGTCAACTTGCTGATTAGTTGGCTGCTGCTCTTGTTGCCTTCCGTGCTTCTCTTTTGTCGCTTGATACTGCTTGCTGTCCGATTTTGCGCCTTGTTTCTGCTTTCCGTCTGGCTCCCCATCGGCCTCTGGGGACAGCTCACGTTGCTGCTGTTCTGCTCTATCGAATGCAAGTGCATTTGGCGAGGAGCCTGTAGCAGCTACTGCACGTTCAGCAGCTGCAGCTTTAAGAGACTCTGCCTCTGCAATGTCCTCACGTGTAGCTGATGGGGTGGTTTCTTTCGATGCAACTGCATTCTGTCCGTATTTCTCCCCGTTCAGTTGATGCCATTTACCGGATGCCGGTGCTGCTTCTGGTGCAAAAACGTGTTCGTGATATGCAGCGGCGGCGACTGACAGACTGTACTGGAGTTTCTGCAGAGCACGACCAAGCTGAAGAGGGTAACTTCCTTCCGCGCAGCAAAGCAGCACTTGTTGCGGTTGAAACACTAGGATTGCTCGTGTGATTCCCTCGTGCTGTTTCTGCTGTACCCTCTCCTGCCCGCGCAACGGCTCATCGCGCAACAGGACGGGCATGCGTGGAGCGACGCAGGGACACGTTGCCGCCGCGGCTGCATCGGATGCAGACTCCCCACGTAGTGCTGTTGTAACTACATGACCTCCGCGGGTTGCTGCTGCAGTGCATGAGCCTAAAGAGTAACACCACTGCATGAACCACACTGTAGACGAGCCCCAGCTGCACACAGCACTCGGTAACGCTTCGTCTGCTTGTTCCTGCCACTGTCCGGCCTTTAGCAGGCGCCGCAGCCCCACTGCAGTCGACGTACCAATAGGATGTGCTGCACCTGTGGGGCTTTCACGAGTTGCTAAAAGTTTCACAGCAGCTGAGTGAGCTGGAGCTGCTGCAGCTGCAGGGGCCACGTCAGGCGTCCTATCTGCATCAGCCCAGGTCGCGCGGCGGTGCTCGCTGGCATCCGAAGGCGGAGATATCCTTGACAGGGAAGCCACCGAAGGCTGCTGTGGCGGTGACTCCCACTGATGCTGCTTTTGCTGTTGCCGCTGCGTTGACGACTGCAATCCAGAGCGAGAGGCCCCAGACCTCTTTCTTGTAGCAACGGCAGCACCAGCTGCTGCAGCCGCCGCAAGCTGCTTGAATGCAATAAACACCCCTGACGTTTTGCTGCCCACATGTGGACGTTGACTCCGTTGCTGTTGCTGTTGCTTCTGTCTTTGTAGTTGCTCCTCCTGCAGGTGTGTTTGCTGTTCTACTGAACTGCGAGGAGTGGGGCTGGTGGTGGCGAAAGCCGTATCTTTTGCTGCCCGTCCAATAGTGTCCTGCTGATGCTGCGGTTCGCGACTTTCTGAGGATTCTGAAGCAGCAGGTGGTGTTGCTGAATCTGGCTGTCGCTGCACCTTCTTGCCCCCGTCCAGCGGCGATGACCCTGTGCCTAATATGGCTGCTGGTGAAAGCGGTACCGGCAAGCCTCCCTCTTTGCCTGATGCTCCTTCTGACACCCCTTCTAGGTCAAATACCTTCAGAGGAGCGGCAGCGCAAGCCCGTTGCTGCAACTGGTACTGCTGCTTTTGGTCTTGCCGCTGCGGCTGCTGCTCCTTCTGTTTCGGCTTTTGCTGCTGCGGTAATTCCTGTCGCTGTTTCTGTGCAAGAGAAATCGCCGCAGGAAGTCCTCCTTCTGCAGCAGCGTGTGCAGTAACACCAAACACAAATGTTAGCAGCAACAACAATAGGACAAGGCGTGAGACGCAAGACCTGATCCCGGGGGAGCTGCGGCAGCTGCTGCAGCTGTGTTCGGCCGCTGCTGCACAGCAGGCCATTTATCTGCACCATCAGCACTCAGCGATACCGAGGCCGTAGTGAAGTGATGCTGCTACTGGACACGGTTCAGCTGGTGCGGTTCCTGGCAGGTTGAGTCGGCGGCGCGTGTGGCTGCCTGCGCTCGGGCTCCTGTTGTTGCTGCTCAGATGTAGCCAGCAACACCTTGCATAGGCAAATGGTGGGTCTGAACTCCATGAGTATCCCCACAAGCGCCACAAATAATCCTTTGCCTGCTGCATGCGGATGCAGTTGCTGTATTGCGAACTACGATGTTGCGCACAAATAGCCTTCAAAGGCTATATATCGGGGAATACGTGCAGTTAACATCCAAGAAGAAGCAAACCGAATAAGTAAACCTATCCTGATAACGGACCAGGCCTCCGGATCAGATCTTGGGGGCACTGCAGGTGGGCCCAGGGCTTAGGGCTGGCAGTGTCAATGACTCAACGGAGGCCATTCGCACACTATAAAACAGCTTACTCGCTCCCTTTTAGAAAATTGGATTCTATAAAAACAAAGTTTATGGCATTGAATATATGATTCAGTGTCTTCAGCAGAGAGCCGCGGATGCACCTACCTTAGTCACGGGGGGATCACGTGTAGGAGCCGAGCTTCGCTCACTACACCACGGGCCCCCAACACATCCGAGGAGACCGTCGTTGATGTCGCTGCCTTTCCCACGGTATCATGTAGCCTCACAAGCTGCGATTGTGCGGCTTTTCGCGTTTCTATATATCTAGGACTGCAAGCATGGAAATGACACATGTGGGAGTCTTCTTGTGAGACCAGGGAACCAGGGGCTCATCTGCACGGGCAAGCCAACAGTCGCAACGCGAACGGCGGTGTGGGGACCATGCATTGCATAACAAGTTATATGCATTAACAGCATTCAGAGGACGTGGAGAAGGGGACGCATCTGGCTTCCTAGCCAGGAAAAGCTTACAGGAACTCGCGAGCATCTTCCGCGTTCACCGACATAGCCACGGCATTCTATCGGATACATTGACACAAGCACACAGAGACAGATACAGTCAGGAGTTCAGAAAAGAGAAAGAGGTGATATATGGGTGCCCTCCGTCTGCAGGTCGGTGACTCAGCTCACCCGTGCGGGAACATTGACAAGCCGGCGAGCAGGCTCAGCAGCAGTCGAAGCGACAACTCTAGCTAAAGACTTCCTTGCCTTCAGATAAGGCTGCGTCCGTGTTGTTGCACCAACGCAGCACACCCTTCAGCAGCGCTACAGCAAGCCGGGAAGCTGCAACCGACGTTGGAAAGGAACAGACGTTACGCTGCAGATGACGTCTCTACCCGGTTGCAGCGTGAGCAGTAGTGAGCGTCCTGTTGTAATTCGAACTGCAGACGGAAATAGCAATGGTATTCGTGGTGGAAGTAGCAGCCATGCTAACCGCAACAGCATTGGCAGCAGCCACCGGAAGGGCAACAGCAGCGGCAACCTTCAGCCCCGACGCCACGCACGAGCAAAACGTGGGTCCCAGAGAATATGCAGCAGCGTCGCAAGTTCCGGGAGAGACGGAGGCAGAGGAGGAGCCTCCGGTAATGGCGACGCTAGCAGCATCAGGAAGATGAGGAGCAACACGCTGCCGCTGGGCCGCGCAATAAGGTCAAGATGTGCACCAACCAAAACGGCAGAAAAAGCAAGCCACGAAGAGGCAGCTGCGACGAAATCAGAATCAGAGACAGCGAGCTCAAGAGGCAGTCACAAACAGGTCAGACAACAAGGTACCCAGCCAGAGCAAAGCAAAGACCCTCAAGAGACAGTGAGGCGGTACAGCGCGCAGCCAAGGAACTGAGGGCTTCTCCGCTGACGAATGATCTGCCTTCACTTCTCGCACACGTTTTTGTAGGCTGGTAGAACTGCGACAACGGGAGATTCGCAGTGCACTGCAGACAATTCCTAACGAAATCGAGCATGTGGCGGTTGTCGTTTCTCGTCAGGAAGGGGAATCTGCAGGCGCTGCTGAAGGNGCCATGCCTGCACCAGCAAAATCAGAAATATCTGCTGATGTAGCAGTTCCAAGGAGCTTTTCCATTCGTCTGCGAAGCAGCTGCACCAGCCACAATGCCGCTGAACGCAGCGAGGGCGTCCCGCTCAACACCAGCACCACCACGAGTTGCAGAGAGCTTCGAATTGCTGCTGAGTCTGCAAACCGCCAGCATGCGGCGAAGGGGCTTCGTAGGCGTAGAGGATGCGCATCAGCAGCGACGGGACTGCTGGAGACGGAGCCGTTGGATGATCCTGCGACCGTTGCTGCTGTTGTTGCAGAGGAGCAGCGGCTTCTGGCTGCAGCCATCGCTGCAGAACCTACACGAGGCCCGCCGCGGGAGTTAGTGGCCTGTCGCGTCATTCATGGGAATCATAAAGGCTGGGACTCTTCACTCTCTTACGCTGTACGACGCCTCTAGGGCCCTTGCTGCTTCTGACAGTTGCATGGGAGCTGTATTTGCCGTTGCTAGCGTCAAAGATCGCGATTGTTGTTGGTGCTGCTGATCCAGCTCGCTTGATGCAATTTTGTTGCATTTGGCGCCGCCACTACCGGCGTTTTCGCAAGCGAGCGTTGCGTCTGTGGTTTGTATTTCGTTCTCTGCGTGCGCTGCAGGAGAAAATTCGCCATTTAGTTGATGGGGGCTTCGTGCGGCGATCTCTCCTGCAGAAGGTTCCGCCATCGACTGCCTCAATCTGCGGCCAATTCGGCATACCCAACCACGTAGTAAGGTGCTGCATTTCCTACTGCTGCACCAGGCATGCAGGGGGGCCCGTGGCGAAGTGGGAACGCCAGCACACACCTTGGCGAGCATCGCCAACAGTGCGTGCGAGTTTTTGCCCCGTTGTATCTGAAATTTTTTTGCATCGCCTAGAGTACTCCTTTGGTTTTGGTGCGGATCGCTGCAGGCAATGCTGGAAGACAGAGATCGCGTAAAATTCTATACGGATGCCATCCGCTGGCATGGCCCCGCCCCGCCACAACGGCAGCAGGTGCTGCCGCTCAGGAGGGAGGAGCCGTCGTTTAAGCAACAGGGACCGCTCCCGCAGGTCACAATGCCGCAGGAGCTGCCGCAGCAGCATAGTGAGCTGATGGGTCGAAGTCAGGTGTATGGGCGCCGTGTGTTGGAAATCGGCTGCGGACCCCTTGCGCTGTTCTCGCTTCTGGCGTTGCAACAAGGGGCGGCTCAGGTTGACGCTTTGGAGGTGACTTGGAGAAGCTGCTGCGCCACAAGAGTTGGCACAGCTACTCGGCATGGCCGCTGCAGCTGCTCATTCCCTTTGTAGCACTGACAGCCCCTGTAGACCTGCAGCAGCACTACCCGTTTCTGTTGATCGTTGTTCTGTGTTGATCGTTTCGGCCTGTAAGTGCTCTTGCGGTGCTGCTGCCTGTTTCGCTTTTACTTTTACAGCTAAATCCTGGGGTGTACCAATTCGCGAGCACATTTGTCCAACAAATAGGCGTCAACGCCCCGCCGCTGCAACAGTATGACCTGGAGAGGCCGCAGAAACCCAAGCTCCGAGTGTTCAGATGTTACTCGAAACTGTTCCCACTTGCGTCATGGCGCAGCATTGCTGTTTCTGGCTTCAAGACATCCTGTGCCACAAGCCCTCCCCCATTGCGTGCGGATGCAGCAGCTGCTGCTCCCGTCGCCGCTGTCGGTGCTTCTTTAGTTGTCCTCTTACGGGGTTCTAAGGGGGAGGGAGCAGCAGCAGCAACAAGTGAGACTGCTGCTTCAGTTGCTTCAGCTGCTGAAGATGCCGTCATGGGGGGCAGTGCTGTTGCAGGCCAAGCCGCGACTTCCCGTGCTGCCAGAGACACGGCTGACTGTACAGCCACTGTTTCCCCGTCGTCGTTGTATCCTGCTGCTGAATCTGCCCCACCGTTTCCCGTAGCAGTCGCTGATACACGGTGCAATTTTGACGCCTCTTCGGCGGCCGCAGCGGCACCAGTGGCAGCTAATGTTGTTGAAGGTGCTGAATTTCAGTTCTCAAGTTGGACAGTGGGGCCACGTTACTGCTTCAAGCAACGGCAATCACAACGGGTCGCGGACCGTCTGCAAGCTTTGCCCAGAAGCAAAAAACGTAGATTCAAAAAAAAGCACAACAGTTACTGCAGACGCAAAGGTACGGGCACTAGCACCTGTGGGGTGAAGTCACCAAGTGCCCACCAGGTGCAGCAGGAGGGTGAGCTGTATGACATGGTGCTGCATGAAATTCTAGGAGACTTTGCCTCGCAGGAGGGGGTAGCCGACGTCATAAGAGACATCCAGGAGAGGACGGGGACAATTCCCCAAAGCATTCCATTCGCCGCCAGAACATTCGTTGGCGTCACTGAGCTGCCGTCGCCCTGCTGCATCAAGTGCCCCGTACGTCAGTTCGCGCGGATGCACTCAGGCCCACTCCCAACAGCATGGCAGTACAGCCTAAAGGCAGTACTGCCATGCTGATGGGAGTCGGCTGTGTTGCTGAACGTGGGCCCTACTTGCAGCAGCTTCCTGAGGTGCGGCTGCTGGGAACACGGAGGTTGAGCATGCTCCGTTTTTAGTTATCTATGAGGAACTTTGCTTGAAAAGCTACCAAAGGCAGAGAAGAGCGCCCCACATACTACAAACTTCTGCCGTTCTCTCATGTGATTGATCTAGGCCAGTGAACATCCAGAGCGCACCGTCATTTCCCCCCGGGAACGCCTGCTGCAATCGGTGAGGTATTTGCTTCCTTCTGCTGTGCCTCCTGCTTTGAACTCAAGTTGGGCGACAGGATTACACATAGGTGGCACACTGATTGCTGCTGTTTTGGCTGGTGATGCTGAGACTGCAGGTTGGACTACGTTTTAGCGAGGCTCTCTTGAGCACCCAGCTGAAGGCCATTGAAGAGTTGGAATTTGAATCCAGAATGGACACACAAATGTTGCAGGTATGTTAGAAGACCTTACTGCATGGTTGCAACTTAAGCTGAGCAACACGAGCAGCAGCAGAAATTGCATCAGGAGGAGCGCGCTTGCACTGTCTTCAAGCAAATGGGATTCTGCTCTGCTGTCTCTCAGCGACGGACACTGCTCTTTGAGGTGGAGAAGGACGGTCTTTTTGCTGGACTGTTGGCTGCAATTGAAGTTGAAATTCGCCCAGTGTGTTCTCAGGCACCCCTTGGTTGTTTTTGCGACCTCCAGTGCATATTTTGCTCTCAGTTGTTTTCGGCGGAGTATCTGTGAACGCCGAGATGGGGACTGAGTAGCTCGGTTCAGTTGTTTGCATCGTCGTCTTCCTGCCAAATGCCATTTGTTCCAGTTAATCACATTGATTTCGAGCACGTTGTCACCTACAGGGCGTACCTGCTGCTGGCACTCATGCTGTCGTCTAGGGGATATCTGATATATATATATATATATATATATATATATATATATATATATATATATATATATATATATATATATATATATTTGCGTGATCGGCAGTCTGCCGTTATGTGCTCTCCGTGAATTGAGTTCTTCAGGGCGTGTTCTTCGGTCCCGTGTACGAGGGGCAGTGTGATAGCTGGTACACAAACGTGGTGCTTCTTGGCAAGGAGGTTTCGGTCACCAAAGGAGACAGAATTCTTTTGCAGACGGAGGCTAACTTGACCAACTTCCAAAGAGAGCAGCACATGGTGTGTCATATGCACTCCTGTTCGCTTACTTATGTCTTCCCTCTCAGTGTCGTTGCTGAAGGTACTAGCTCCTGCTACTTCCGCTCTTTTAAAATTCCCTCTGAGCTGTTGTGTTAACACTACACGACCTGTTTGTTTCGCCACTTACTCGTAAGCACGAAAAATTGCTTTTACAGGTTGATTGACTGTTCGTTAGCTTGTGGTTGATATTCGACCCCCCAACAGGTGCTTCTGATGCGTAGGGTCCGAAGGGCCGTCGTTGGGTCTCTGTTTCACGGCCTTCTTACACGTTTACTGGACAGGTTCTCCCGTCTTCAGGGAATGCACAGACTTTTGGTCCGATTATCATTGACTTTGATGAACAGGCCTGCTGTGTCCAGGACAGGGATTGACTGTCCTTTCACTACCGGCACTGCGGAGGCAGCACAAGCTGGCTTCTACTGTTGCAGCAAGGTAACAGCAGCAATATCAGCTACGGGCCCACCAGCTAGGTCCAGCTCGGAAACTTTTTCTAGAAACCCCTCTAATTTCTTCAGTACCAGACTGTGTCGTTGCATGGTCGCAAGCAGCATAGTAGTAGCTCAGCGGCAGCTTGGGGGGCTGTAGCCGGGCCGTTGGCCGTTACTGGTGGGCAGTCACCGGCATGGTACTTTCACCGCCGAACTAAATGCTCTTTGCCGCAGTCGACACTGCAGTTTCTTGTAAGTTACGGGAAACGCGTCTGGCTTTTTCCCCCGTTGCCGTTATTTAAAGATCCGCTGGCCTTTTATATAGCAGCGAAAATAGCAGTTGCAGCTGCTGTTGCGTGTATGCGTGTTAGTGGCAGCCACTGTTGTTGACTTCAACCATTTGCGAAACCCATCATGCGTCAATGCACCTGGAACTTGATTTGTCTATTAAAGTGAGTTCCTCTCTTTGTGTTGTCCCTTCCAGGCCTTGCGTGTAGACACGCAGCTGTCTGCAGATTTGAGTGCGAAAAGATCATTTGATACCGATGCCCAGGCTTCGTGTCTCTATATATTTGCATACTTTTTATTTTTTGTGGGGAGCAGATGTTCCAACTGCAGTGGCCGAGGGCTTTTCCATTCGAATTACAGGGAAGAGGAAAGTAACGCTCCATGACCCGGCTGACACCAGCCATGATGAGGCCAGCGAGTCTAGCGTAAGGGGCACTCAACCACCCCTGAGTCGCTGAAACCGAGAGGCGAACTGCTTTCGAGGAAACGAATAGCGCATTAGTGCAAGAGAAGCAAAGTGCTACGTCTGAACACAATTCGGAAGTCCCCGAAGTCNAACGAATAGCGCATTAGTGCAAGAGAAGCAAAGTGCTACGTCTGAACACAATTCGGAAGTCCCCGAAGTCCACTCTTATTGTTGCAGGCTTGTTACTGCAGAGTAATGAACAAAGGATGGCCCCAAGTCCAATCAGATAACGGATTGGAAGCATGACGCTGCCTCGGATTTAAGATTTTAACGCCGTATGCTGGGGAAGGGATGGAATCTCTCCTAGCAAGTAGTTTATATCGTCCACAGCTCTTCCGTGACTGCCCCTCTGGGCTCTCAGAGGAAAGTCCCTTGACAGTGTTACTCGAACCCGTCATGCCTGTGCTCATCAGAGCTAGGGACAACCGATGTAGGAACACCTGAATATATAGCCGATACGGGATGCAGCCCTGGCTGTTCTGGTGAAGTGCGCCTCAGTCGCTTCCACGGCAAACGACGCTTCGCAACGTTTAAGGCTTTTAGTTTCTCTAGTTCAAATGTGGTTTCAGGCCGTATATGTGGGTGCGATTCGTTTTTTGTGTAATGCTCAGCATCCGAATTTAAGTGTCTGCTTCCTCGGAGGGCCAACAGTAGTAATGCGTTGAGGCCACTTAGGGCACATTCCACGGTTTCTATAAAATATATTCGGTACCTACAGACAGTGAACAGTAATGAGCAAAGCGACTAAACGATCAAGTTGACTCTGTCCGCATACCATACACTATTCTAACTGCGATTCGGACGGCTCCAGTGTCCCAGTCAGTCCCTCACACACGTGAAGCAGTTCTCATCGTCTGCGCTGGGCATCAGTTCTTTTGAACAAACGATGCATATTGTCTTGTTACCCATGTCAATCCTTAACCACAAATTTTCAGCTAGGAAAAAACCGCAGGAAAGTTTGGGCAGCTGAGAGACACAAAATGTTTTATTTGAAACAGTATGGGGTCAAGAAATCGATGCCCTGTCAAGGTGCATTGCCGCCTGAAGTGTTTGCCGTCTGTTCCCCACATGCATGGATTTATTTTACTTGCGAACAAATTTGATATATTCACGTGTGTGCTAAATCCTGTAAACATGTTGAGCCGAAGGGTTATCTGGGTGTATAGCAGCTGTTTCACTGCCGGCTTCCCCGACTGCTCAGCCTCTAGGGGACCACGTGCAAATTTTTGTTTGGTGGGAAGCAAAATGCAAATCTGCGAGAGGGTAGAAGAACAGTTGGCCCAATACCTGGTGCTTCGCCGAAGCTCAGCAAGACGCTCGGCAACCCCCGTCTACGCAGCCCATCAGTGGTCTTGCTTAACGACGCCCCGCTATGGCACATCTATGGCACCCCTCTTGAAGTCATTCAAGCAAGTTGCTTCGAAGAGCACACAAATACTCCAGATATGCGAGGAAGTGATAAAGGAGACTGCACCAGAGAAAGGCGAAGACCACCGTAGTATTCAACAGAGGCTGGGAGTGAGGCATGGTCCGACTGGCAACATCGGTCTCCACGGTTGAACGTCATACCATTCCAACATTCATTCCATGTCCGTGTTACTTTCATTTTCCCCTTTGATTTGAAACAAAATTGCAAGGAGATACGCTCGTGTAACTGCCTTAATAAAGGTTTTTTCCGCTGGAGTTCCACAGGAGTTCCCAGTTCACCTAACACGATCAGGAGAGTCCATTGGTGAAGAACGTGGAGGAAGCGAACTCCCGCTGAACACCAAACTGTAAGGCGTTCCCCTTAAACAAGACATATAATGTGCGATGCCTTTTGATGTCAATCACAGTGTCTTTCTGTGGTGAAGTCATCACTGAACAGTCAGGGAACAGGTTGAGCAGACATCTGCGAATTACCATGGAAGCACCAGATATAGGCCCCACGGAGATTGCCGTGCAACTCCTGGAGAAGAGAGAACTTCTTAATGAGAGAACATATCCGTCGAACCCTTCTGGCGNATTGCCGTGCAACTCCTGGAGAAGAGAGAACTTCTTAATGAGAGAACATATCCGTCGAACCCTTCTGGCGACTCTGCGATGGAGTATAGCTCCACGCAAGGGTCACCGTTATTTGTTCATCCGAAGGGGAGATATGGAGGCAGGCGGATCACCCAAAGCAGTGTACTCTTCGTCTCAGTTTTGGCACTTGCTGCATCAATAACCATGGTTTTGATATGGTCTGCCCTGTGCCGGACCCCTGGCAACAAAGCAGGGATGGTAGGGTTGGTGCAACGGAGGCTTTCCTACAGTCAGCATGGGTATGCGTTCTCTGACACCGCACACAGTTGCGCAGTGTTAGAGACGGATCTAAAAGCCTTGCAAAGCAATTTGCAGAGAGTTTCAGGGCAAGCTTGGAGGGATTTAACTTTCGTGCCCGGCCTATACGGGTCTGCATCCAGTTCAATGGAGGCGGCACCGTGTTTTCCACAGGCTTCTACAGGGACGACATTTTCGCCTTTACGCGGAGTTGGTNAATGGAGGCGGCACCGTGTTTTCCACAGGCTTCTACAGGGACGACATTTTCGCCTTTACGCGGAGTTGGTAACACATATACAAGTACAGTTACTGATGCGTTAGGGCAGCAGGATGTTTCTGAGCTTCCACTGGAGTCACTTAGGTGGACAGAGCCTATGGCACATGTTCTAGAACAGGCTACAGCTCCACAGCACCCAGGTGAGCCAGCGTTGCGGAGTTCTGCTGGGAAGTGGAAGGAAGACGGGGGAGATTTTCCAGGACATCCTTGGTTTACACCGTCGTGGGTTCCGTACGATGTTTCGCACCGGAATCATTTTGGCTCCAGAGCCACTGGATTTGATGCGACGCTACGGCAGTCTCGGTCTGCCTGTGAGCGAACCGAAACCAGGAAAGAGACAGTTTTGGGCGAAGCTGCACAACTGAACTTACAGCATATCATTGGGGGCAGTTCTTTACCAATGGGAGAAGCTGACGTTGCGTCGGTTGTGCCGGGTTCGGATGCTGCTAAATCTCCGCAGGATTTAATGCCTGTGGAGACAGACCCGGTGAATCTACCGGAAATGGCAGATGATCAGACCACAGCAACCGCGTTCCGAAGTAGGAAGATAGCTGAAATTGCGAACATGCTATCACTTGCTGCCGAGGAATTCGAGAGGGGTTTGAAGGGCGTTCAGGAGCGGTTGGAGCCGGTCTCCTGTGGGCAGTTTATTGCTCAGGGGCAGCCCCATGGGGACGCACCCGTGCAACGAATTCTGTCCCAGTCGCCTATGTGCTCTTCTGGAGCAGGGTGTGGGGCAAGCCAGCCTATACAGCCGCTGATGATGAGTAGCCCTGCATATAGTGGCGACAGTGGGCGGCNTGTGGGGCAAGCCAGCCTATACAGCCGCTGATGATGAGTAGCCCTGCATATAGTGGCGACAGTGGGCGGCTGTTCGTAGATGAAAATGCTGGCGCCACTCAAGTACTGACTGCGCCGCGATCATCTATTGAAAGTGTTCCGCAGCAGTCTTTACACCAGCACGACGAGACTTTTACTGTCTCAGCTGACGGAGAGCCGATTGGTTCCCTTCATTCTAGTGCATCTCGAGAGCATAGTGTCTCACTGGGAGGGGCAGCTTCTCCTTGGGGAAACTTGCTGACGAAGTTGCACCTGGGCGCAGCAAGTGCCAGTGACTCAAATGCTGAGGATAATCAGAATACCAGAGCCCGTACCCCTTCACAAGGAGGGAATGCAAATGTTTCTCATTCAGCGACCCTGAAGAACATGCTACCGGCGAAGGCCGCGCAAGAGACGCCTATATGCGGAGGCCAGCAGTCTTTAGCTGTTTCTGTATCAGAAGCCTCTAGCAAAGATCCAAGAACAGAAATCGCAGTGAACACTCCAGCGCATCCGTATGTACGTCTTCCAGTTGTTCCTCGTGAAGCAATACAACGCACCTTTGACTACAGAACTGCATTGTTCTGCAGCTTCCATGATAGGTCTGCATGTCACACACTGGCGATCATTCGAACGCTTTTCGCGAAGGATGTTTTGGGTTGGATTGATGTAAACAGGCTACTTCTTGCTTGCCAGAGATTGGTCAACTATGCATTCTTCGTCCTGAAGTGGCCTTATCATCTTGAACATCCATATCGCGCCAGCGGAAGGCTTGGACTAATATTTCTTACGTTTGATGCGGTGGTATGCACGATGGAGCTGCTAGGGGACAACATGGTAACAGGGGTTTGGTGGGGGAAGTTCACAAGTATTTTCAATACAAAATATCGCCTGAGAACAGCAAAGAGGTTCTCGCCGGTTGCAGCCGGGCAGGCTGATTTATGTAACCGCTTGCTTGCCGCAATAGAAATATACAAGACAGGAAGGCGCCCACCTCCGGAAGTCATTATTGTTTTGAAGCGATTGCTCTTCTGTTCAAGATTCTCTCCAGATATATTCCGGAGACNCCGGAAGTCATTATTGTTTTGAAGCGATTGCTCTTCTGTTCAAGATTCTCTCCAGATATATTCCGGAGACGTCAGTGGGATGTGTGGAGGTTGGACGATAAGGACTGCTCTGCAGTATAATCGAGGGGCTTCCAGCCAATCTTGTGCTAGTCAAAGTGGCGAATGGGGACCAGGCTGGTTTGCCTGAGAGAAACACCTCGTGCAATTTTAGGTATGAGAATCGATGGTGAGCCTACTGTTGAGTAATTTGCACGCTGCGGCGGGAAGGTGTAGCTGATTCGTGTGCTTTATTGCTGCATGCCCTCGTGATATATGATACAACAACACTGTCAACCTCATGTAGGCTAATCTTGGCCACCTTGCCAGCATGCCTAGCCTTTGCAGTGCGGAAGTGTACATGGTTCTGTTTGTATCCTGTAATTTCTCTACTGGTGTGGACCCCGTGTCGAACTTCAATTGATATCGCTTTGCCGTCATTGGGCGGGTGGGTAATAGTCCCCACAACCAACCCGAACTACGTCGACGGCAACGCGTAGAGTTTTGTTGCAGCTAACGCCAGTACTTTTTGGCCACATTTATGCCTTCCCTTGCAACTCATTTGAGATATTTTGACGTTTCCACTGTCTCCGGCTAGGAGAACGGTGGTAGCAGGAGACATTAGCTTTAGCCTCAATAGGGTTTGCTGATGAACACGGCAGTGGGGACTGCCTGGTCAAGAAACTGGATATGAAGAGGAAAACGAAGAAGCCAGTAGCCATCAGAAATGCACAGGCTCAAGGCTGTGGACGGAAGGAAAGGCATCAAAATGGACCCTCAGAATGCTTTTTGGACTGAGGTAGGTTAAATGGGTTAGCACTGACGGCATATTTGCACATGCATGCAGAGCACACAAACGTGAATTCTTGCCTTCCCCGGATGACCTAGTTTACGACCTGTATTCGGTTGACGATGCAACAAACAAATAACCCAAAGATCACAGAGTGGGCTAATCTTGCTTTTAGCTGACTCATACAGCAGTTCTGTGCAGCACGTGGAGTTGCCGATTTTGCGGAACAGCAAACAGAATCCAGGTGGTATGCATTGACGAAGCCCGTTGTGCAAGGCATAACGACTTCTAGTGGAGGCCGCGTTTTGAGTCGCGGGCTCTACCTTCCCGTGAAGAGGCAATCTGCGTGCTCAGTGTACGAGCAATGCAAAGGAGGCGTTGGCACCAGCAACGGAAGCACAAAGCATCATGCGTATACAGCAAACTGTTGGGGTCAAACCGATATGCGGACCTTAGTATACATGTAGCACAAGAATCCCCTACAATTTAAAAGAAAAGCTTAGCCCATACAATCGTACTGAAGCCAGAACTAGCCCTACAACAGCCTCGGCCGAACCGCTGGCAACTGCTGTGAAGGCACCGGGGACAAACAGTCAGTCCGTTAGATACTTGGGAGTACGCGCCAAAATAATGTAGGCACACCTTGAAACGTAGCGAAGTGCATTGACCATCGAAGAAGTGTTCGCCGATAAGCGTGCAGGGTTTGCTTATGCCTTCTTGTAATGAAGACGAAGGTGTTGAGCGCTCTGCGAAGTACGATTGTCGTTGATGCTACAAGTTTAAACAAGGAGCTAGGCAGAACACTTCAGCAGTGTGGGAAATTCGTCGGATGCCGGTGTCGCTGCTGATTCACTTTGACTGTACAGAGAGTGAGAACATGCGGAAGGGCTTGGCTCTGGGGTTTCGGGATTCGCCTCCATCTGAGCTTGATACAGGAGTCACCAAAAGCTCACCGCCTGCTCCACATACGCTGTAGTTTCTGCACCGAAGCGAACTTTGTGGCTGTACATCGGCTACTTTGTAACAAGTCCACTGTGCATAATAATTATCGGAGCTGCTGGATCCGAGGTTTCTAAGGTTTCACTCCATAGCACTGCATGATCCGCATCCACATGCATGTGCATGGATTCGAAGAATTCGGGTAGCGGCTCGTATTTGGCTGCTGAAGACGGCTAGAACTTCCTGTTTCTGCGCCTCCACCGTGTTGCACGCGTTGCAGTTTTGTGATGAAGTTGAATGCGATGACAGGCGCTAGGGTACTTGCCAAGAGGAGGCTGAAGTAGTTGACGGAAGTTTGAGACTTTGGTCGGGTGCGACCAAGAGTCAGTGGGCCACGGCAACAGAAGATATTTACGGCAGAGCACGTCGAAGTATCACATTGTCGTGTGCGCGTACTGAAGAGCTTCTTTAGGGGCAAGCTTTTGTTGTGCAGGCGTCAACTCAAGTGCCGACAACAGCATGAAGCTGCCCGGAACGGGCGTGCGGATGCATCGTCGTGAATCAGGAAGCATTGCAGTTGCTTCCGAAAGGATGTCGTTGGGGATACTTGCAGTCAACACTTTGCCATGCAGTGGTGGCGCATCCGTCTTGATATGTGCATGAGGGAGGTTCTGGAGTGGTCTTTGTACATTCGGGGCTTTTGAATATTATGCAACCTCGCCTATTCGTAGAAACACGCCATGTTCTTCTCCATCAGCCAAACGCAGTTCATAGGAGCAACTGTCGGCTTAGGAGCATAAACAACCAACTCCTCTACGCGTAACACTTCGTGCCAAGAACTTCGTTCGGCAGTAGACGAGGTACATGCAAATGCGGGGGTCTAATGCCAAGCTCTCCAGTGACGGAGCTAGGGACAGAGGGAGCAGTGGCGAGCAGAGCTTCCTGAGCATTGGTGCTGCAAATGCCAATTCAGGCGCCGTTTCAAGGTCCTTGCTGTAGCCCGCTAACAGTAGCGTCCTTGCTGAAATCATATTTGCTAGGAAAGGAAATAATGCGCCGTCTCCAATTTTATTGATGCTTTGGGATGATCGTATTTTTATCCAAAGAATCTGGCATTATACTATCCTATACAAAATATGATCTACGAATTATTATCTCTAAATACTTCCCTTCCGGGGACCTTTTCACCTTTCCCTTACAGTACTAGTTTGCGATTGAATGCCTCGCAGCTCCTGATCAGGAAGTGGCTTCTAGTTCATAGGGTGTGCTAGGAGGGGCATAGAGTTTGACGGTCCCATACATGAGCTCGTGCTTCACTTCAGGACCGCTAATTTCAGCACTACTTCAAAATGCAGCGAGCTACCAGAGTAACCGACGTTGCTTCGGGTGGTTAAACTCAGGCATACAACCCATGGTACTGTATGAACAGTACCATCGGGCGTATGGCCGAGCTTACTGTCTGAACAGATTCTCTGCCCTTTAACGCGGGGGGACCGGCAAAAGTTTGTGGCTGTACTGTGCATGTGCAACAATATCCCCAACCTGTTGCTCTAGTGAGGTGGGGCTACAGCACACCGCACCAGCCAGAGGAGCTGTCCACGTGCCCTTTATGGACTAAACGCGCTTCGAAGGGTTGTGTCAAAAAACCGCGACAACTACCAACGTAATTCTTACTTCCGCTTAAAGGGTATTCATGGTTCTACTGTGTCTCCTATCCTTCAGGATATTTGCAGGAAACACTGGAAGGTNGCTTAAAGGGTATTCATGGTTCTACTGTGTCTCCTATCCTTCAGGATATTTGCAGGAAACACTGGAAGGTACAAGCCATTACTTTTGTTAGTTCTTCGTTTCACCTGCCACGTATCAGAATGTACCCTTGTCCTGCAGCTGCAATGCATTCCTGTACTGGACGATTACACCGCATCCTCAGCATAGTCCATCCATATCCTTTGCCTTTTCCAGTAGGAAAACTCTGAAAGCTTTGGGAGCGAGTGGCGAACAGAAGAGCATTCTCTTGAGAAAGATAATGCTACTCTTAGCGGGGCGGACTCCTGATTTGTAGGATTTTATTGCCTCACTAAGCTCTTGCGCCAATGTCGCATTGAAGCGGCGCTGCTCCGTGAAAAAAGAGGGGGCTCCGTAGGCTGGGACTTCGTGAGGCATAGCATTTGCGAATTCGGT